ATCGTTGTGAAGATGAGCTTAAATGAAGAAGCACACGCAGGCATAGCACAAGAAGGGGCAACTCCGGCGCGAGAAGCGGGAGATGGGCTGCGGAAGTACAAACATCACACGGTGAGGTGAATACGAAGGCACAACGAAGAAATGCTGCTTTTATTATTGGAGATATGCTCCCAATGATATCCATTATTATGACATACTTATTAGTAATATCTGCTTCCTTTTATCATTCGAGATTGGTTATTAATTAAGAAGGTGCAACTCAGAAGTTCGTACGGTAATAAATAACCAGATTGAAGAAAACTTTATTTGTACCTCAAAGAAGCAAAGGACAGGCGAAACGCAGGCAACTCGGCACGCATGAGTGGTTACAGTGTTAACTATGAGCTTTGTAATATACTGTAACCCCCGCTGCCTGTGCTGGAATGAAAAGAATCTGCAGCGAACCCAGCCATAACTTTGCACGACAACGCAGAGTTCATGAGTAGCGGCGTGCTAAGGCGGCACACGCTGGAGTGTAGAACAATGTTGCCTCAAGATCCATCTCCTAGGCAACTACATCTGCCAGCGGTTAGGTCCACAGCGACTCCACACACTATTTCCCGTGTGCCTCTCAAGCCTATATGTATATGCTTTCCTGCAAGTATGTATGCGTAGCTAGTTCCCTCCCTCGGAGATAAGGAATGGCGTGTCACTTTTGGTGTCTTCTCGGCAGCGAGCTAACATATATATAACACGTGATGTGGGAACGGAGAAAAAAAAAATGGTAGGCTTGCAAGTTACAATTATAAATGGTACAGGTAGGGTTGAAATTGTAATAGTGTATCAAATCGATTTGCATTATATATATATATATATATATATATATATATATATATATATATATATATATATATATATATATATATATATATATATATATATATATATATATATATATATATATATATATACACACACACACACACACACACCGCCTCGAGCTCATCCCATGTCTTGTACCTCATAAATAGTATATATTTTTATATTTTCAATTAAATTTAAAAAGTTTGACTTCTCGAAATATTTGGTAGGAAAATATCCTTTTCACCCGTGAACTTTCAGGATCGTCCAATTTCCCTCCCTTGGCTATAAAATTAGTTTTTTTTTTGAAATACACAACCCCACCTTCCCCGCCCCACAACTTTCAAAATCATTTATTTTTACCCCATGGTCAGTTTTGCTAAGTCACGTCAACCACGGGGATTATAAAAATAAGACTAAGGGCGTGCTTGGCTTTCTAGGCTAGACTAGTCTGGCTCACACACCACTGAGGTCATGTGTTGGGTGTGCAAGTAGGTGTATTTGATTGCATGCGCACTTACACAGCCAGGCTACACTGATGATGGTTAATTGGTTACCTGGTTGCATGTGCTCGCCAAGTTGCGAGAGCCGCCGCTCAGTAGGAACGCCCATTTTCAGCATACGAGAGGAGCCTTGCTCTAGAACGGAGTATGCATGCGCGGGGACAGACCCTGAAAGATGGGCACACAACCAAACAATGGGTGGTTCCACCCAACGGGCATGGCCGGACCACATAAAGAAAAACAAACACGCCCTAATAAGTTGAAAGTTTAGAGATAATTTGAACTAAAATATTTCAAAAATTCATCAACAATATTTTTAAAAATTTATCCAAATAAAAATAATAAAATAAAAATACTAAAATCTAGTTTAATCTTAAAAATTCATGGAAAATTTGTTTTAGATCGAAAAATTTTGAAACTAGTTTCAGATTTTTTTTTCTAAAATCATACTCTATATTATAATGCTTACTTGAAATTATTTGAATTTTTACATACTTATTTTGGTGTTTTTTTGCCAGTAGAAGCTATCGTTATCTATTATAATTAGTCGATATTGATGGTTCGAACTATATAGAGCCGCCAGTGGATCGAAGCGTCGTTAGGAGTGGTCCCCTGGATAAGTTTTCAAAGTATTTGCGTTAGTCTAGGTGGTTGCATGCATCCTGCCACACATATGGATGCATGCACCCTGCATTTAATATAGTTAATTAAGTTTTACTTACTATTAAATTTAATTAGGTTTTAATACGTGAATCGAAGTGTAGTGTGGCAAGAAAGTCTAGATGGTAGCACATAGGACATTATGTTATAAGATAGGATCAAATGACGCGGACATGATTGAGTGACACTTATATTTATCTAAATAAATAATATTAAGTATGAGGTGATTACATGGCAATTATGTTGTCAACAAGGTCACTTGGTCACCAACATATACTAATTATAATAGAATAATGACAGCAACTACTAACAAATAAGCACCAAAAAAATAGTCCATATAAGATTTAATTATTTTTAATTTAGGCACCATAAGGTAGAGAATGATTCTAGGGAAAATACAAAACTAGCTTCATACTTTTTGAGCTAAATCAATTTTTCTAAGAACTTTTAAGAGTAAACTAGATTAAGTATCTTTTATTGCATAATTTTTTAAATATATTTGGACATTATTTTTTTAAAAAAAATCATAGTTCAATCGGTAAGGCTAGCGTCTGGACGTCCGGCCGCAAGCCCACCTACCCCATGTGGATGCGCGCCGTGGAGGCGTCTGTAGGCCTGAGGCGCTGGCACGTGAACCACGACAATGCACCAATAACAGCAGGCGGACAACGGCTTGCAACACAAGATCTACTTTTAAAACATCTAGATGAAACATTTGCAACATACATATGAAAACAGATGAAACACTTGAAACATATGTTTCAAACATGCGTGTATAGTCATTGCAACATGTGCAATACCATATCAACTTTTGAAACATCTAGCCGAAACATGTGAAACAAAACGTCTAAAAACACCCGAAACACTTGAAACATACGCGTGCAACATGTGTATATTGCCATTGCAACATATGCAACATCACATATCAACTTTTACAACATTCAGATGAAACACTTGAAACATAAGTTAGAAACGTCTGAAGCCTTTCAAACACGGCGCCACCGACAGCCATGGCCTATCTGGTAGGGGACTGCGGTAATTAGCAAGCTCAGGACGAGAGGAAACGTCAAGAGCAAACGACCCAGCGTGAGCAGGCCTCCCCTTCATGCCGTGAGAGATGAAGTCTGAACCGGCGGCGACCTCCTCCTAGTGGCGCCGGGGTGGTGGTGGCATGGTGCCCACCATGGGCGCGACGAGTGAGGTGATGGGGGCGTGCTAGTAGATAGGGGCGAGGCGCGGGGATGGTGGTGTGGCGTGGTTAGCGATGGGGTGCGGCATAGGAGGAAGGACGCTACGTGCGTGGGGGACGGGCGTGCGGTGGGTGAAGGGGGCGGTGCAGCGACGGATGCGTAGTGATGCCCTGACAGCCAGATGCGAGTGTGATGGGGAAGAGCATGCATGTTGGGCTGTCCGCTGCGCATGCCCATAAAAACAGCATCTAGATGGGGCGAAGACCCGTGGCCAAATATTAGCGCAGTTCAATTTACTCCTGAGCTATGAACTTTAGTAATTCCGTAAAAACATATGGTTACGTAGGACAATTTAAAGTGACACTACGTAAGCAAACACCACCATCAAAACTGCAAAAACAAACGGTTTTGAAAATTAAATAAAGAAGGTATATAAATAAAAACCTGCGCTGTTTTATATCTGACGAGAGAAATTGAGCGGCTTAAAAGGGCCTTCTTTTTTTTTTCTTTTTCTTTTGGGGCAGATGATTTCTATTGTGGAAATGCAGTTAGACCCATTAGGTGAAGTGCTTACTAAGGCATTCCACCGATCGTCTTTTTCTTGTTATCTCAATCTAATAATAAAGAGGCAATATTTCTTCTCAGTTTTTATATGGTCTCTCTTAACTAACTTTGTGAACGTGGAAACTATGGTTACAATCTTCCTATTTTGTATGAGATATGTTGGGCTTGTTAAGTGACCTGGACAGAAATCTTAATCCTAATCCTAATCCAAATAGATTATTTGATCCTCGTTTTCATTACCGTTTGACACAATATTTTCTTCCATCGTGACGCATGAGCACGTTTGCTATTTCTATATTAAAGAGCCAAAATTTCAGTCACAATATTTTTTGTTCTGCCACCTGTATCACTTGGGCCTATCTTGATCGAGTCTGCTGGATATATGTGTCCCTACCGAGTCCGCTCCAATATAGTATAATGTGTTTTCATTGGCGCCTTTCCTCGGTTCCTCAAACCGTGTGGCAAGGCTTATAAAAAAAAATCTTCATCAAAGAAACCCCGGTGAAGATCAGAAATTTTCACCATCTTTTAAAAAATGATCTCTGATCCAATCATTATCCTTTGACCTCCTCCCACAATTCTATCATGTGGGATCCAACCTTTTGAAGTAAATTAGATGAAATTCAATCTAATTCCGAACCCATAATCATGGATCGATTGGATCGGGTCGAAGTCGGTCCATCCAGCAAACATGAGTAGGAACATAGAAAACGAACCAAATGAATTCCAATCAAATCCCGAGACAATGACCAGGAATGAACTGGATGAGATCGAACCTTGTCCAGAAAACAAGAGCAACAGATCCCGTTGCAACGGGGCATATTTGCTAGTAAAAAAAAAACTCCATTGATTTTGCCTTTTTCAGACTCCGATTGGCTCCATCTCCGCCCTCCGTGCGCTCCGGCTCCGCGGCCATGGCGTCCACCGCCGTCAAGCTCATCGGCAAGTTCCTCCGCTCCCTCTCCCACCGCACCGTCCTGTATCGTCCCCTCTCTAACCCGGACTGACCCTCTGCCTTCACCTTGCCCTCCACCGACCTTCCTCCCCGTCTCCGGCCGCGGCGACCCCCGCACCAGACATCGCAGTCAACTTCACTGGTAACTCATGCTTCCAAATATCCTCCATTTTGCTCTTTTCTTAGAGCTTGCCTCACAACTGGTTGGCTGATTGTTGCGCCTCTCTCTTTTTCCCCCGCGCGGCACGCGCCGTACGGGCTGTTTGCTGCTACTGCCGTGAAGATGGCATGTTCAAGGGCATCTACCACGGCAAGCAGTGCCATGCCGCTGACATCCCGGCCGTACTTGCGCGCGCGTGGGCTGCCGGCGTCGACCGCATCATTGTAAGCATGCCTTCTCGCCCCTTCTTGACTCGCCTCGGTTTCCTGGTAATTAATTTCTTGCCTTCCTGGTTTTGGTGGGGCGGCAGGTCACCGGAGGCTCCCTGAAAGAGTCCAGGGAGGCGTTGGAGATCGCCGAGACCGACGGTAAGCTCAGCTGATCGCCTGCTCGCTCTCGTTCGTTGACTGCTGCTGTGCTTGGTGGTGCTTGTAAGGTGTTCGGTGAAATGCTCCTGAGAAGCTGTCTTGTGTGTGTGCAATGCAGGGAGGCTGTTCTGCACTGTGGGCGTGCACCCGACGAGATGCGGGGTAGCTGGGATTTTTCGATTGGTATTTGCTATTGTTGTTTAGTGGTTCTGTTGTTTCCTGATCCGGTGCATTTTGGATGGTTAGGAGTTCGAGGAGAGTGGAGACCCCGAGGGTCATTTTCAGGCACTGCTGGCTCTAGCGAAGGAGGGGATAGAGAAAGGCAAGGTTGTGTATGGTTATATTGTTTCCCAGCAGGCAAAAAGTGGTGTGACTATTGTTTTCTTGTATCCTAGAGTATTGATAGATTGCTAGGGACAGTTATTCAGTCATGTGTTAGGATTGGAGCTATTGAATGTTCTCACAGGTTCTTACTTAAACAATGCTATATAAATCAATGATCTAACACAAAGTTCACATGACCCTGAAACAACAATAGGCCTTTTTGTCCTAAGCAAGTTGGATTAGGCTAGAGATGAAACCCATCTAGAGCCACAAGAAATTGGACATCATAAATATGTAAAAGAAAAAAGAGCTAAATCAGTTCTAGTGGTAGTAAACAAGAACTTTGATTCTATAAGCACGAAGTGCTGGTGTTGGCTACTTGGGTGTATTTGTAATCTACGCTATTTTCTTCTTAATGCAAATTATGAACAGTACATGCGTATTTGAGAAACAGAAACAAGAACGAAGCATATATCAAGAGGGTTGGGGTGCAAACACACCCTTACCCTGATCTGTGCTTGAGAAATATATAGTGTGCAATGATTTACTTGTTAATCGACAGTTTCAGCAAAAGGACATGCACAGATATTTGAACCGGTCTTTAAGTTTTGAAATATGAAGATATGATCTTTTTGTAATGAGCCACTCGGTGGTTATTTCTGTCCCCACTCCCTACCCTCCTCCCCAGGAAAAAAACACTTGCAATCTTACATGGGTTCCAATTTCTTTAGGTCGTTGCCGTTGGTGAATGTGGTTTGGATTATGACAGACTTCACTTCTGTCCAGCAGATGTGCAAAAGAAGTATATAGTCTTGTTCTCATATGCACACAAATTGGCATTTGATCTATTCATTTTCTGAGTGATTTATTTTGTATTAGGTATTTTGAGAAACAATTTGAGTTGGCTGAAGCAGTAAAACTGCCAATGTTTCTTCACATGCGTGCTGCTGGTGAAGACTTCTGTGAAATCATGACACGAAATTGGGACAGGTAGCATATAATCTGTATTCCATAGGTGATGTTCCTCAATGATGCCCTGCTAGATACGCTCTCTGTTTTAATGAAAAAATTGAAAGGTTTTAATGAACAGTTGAAAGTACACTGGTCATAGGAGTTACCTACGTTTCATTCCACTTGTTATGTTTTATAACTATTCCCTGATCTCTGTGTCTGTTTTTCTCTTTGGCAGATTCCCTGGTGGGGTTACACATTCCTTCACTGACTCAGCGGAAGATCGGGACAGGCTACTTTCTTTTGAGAAGATGTTTATAGGTAAAATATCTTTACCTGGCAATAAAAATCTGCATGTCTTGCAACATGATAACTTCAGAGTAAAGACAGTCAATTAACTTTAAGTAGTTGCAACAAGCTATTCCAAATTCTGTTGTAATTCCGCTTTGTGATTCAGTTCTGTGTTGAAAATTTCCTTTTGTCAACTGGGAGATAATTAAATAACAGAATCTCAAATTCTACAGTTGCTTCAGTAATTGTGAATCAAGCAACTGTAGAATTTGATGTTCTGTTATTCAGTTTTGTGTTGAAAATTTCCATTTGATTCAATTGTCAATTAAATAACTGAAGCAACTGTGAATTTGATATTTTGTTATTTAATTATCTCCCAGTTGTTTGGGACTTAAAGGCTTTGTTGTTGTTGTTGTTGTTGTTGTTGTTGTAATTATCTCCCAGTTGGGTCAGATAATTGTGAATCATGGTTGTAGGTGTTAATGGCTGCTCTCTGAAAACTAACGAAAATCTTGAGGTTCTACGAGGCATTCCTGTTGAGAGGTTGATGATAGAAACAGATTCTCCATATTGTGACATAAGAAATACTCATGCTGGAAGCCAGTATGTAAAATCTGTCTGGCCATCCAAGAAGAAAGAAAAGTACGAGCCAGATTCAACAGTAAAAGGTCGCAATGAGCCTTGTTTAGTCAGGTAAGTTGCAGCAGTTTTCCATCATTTCTTAAGTTCTCTTGCTCGGTGTAGACTGGCTGCTGAGTTTTTAACTATGACAACTGCTTTCCTATGTAGAGATTATTTGCTTCTCATTCAAGTACTCCATTCTTTTACATGATTTCTCTGTAGAAACATCAAAGTAATCCAACCTTAACTCATGCCCTTCTCTGTAGAAAGACTAAACAAGAAACGTACTTTTTACATGGAAATTTATATTTCTATCCTGATCAATGATGTTGAGGGTTGATAATTCAGTTTTGTGCTTCATTAGCCTTATTCCCTAAGTCATGATTGTTCCGCTGTTATTGTACTGTGAACTGAACTCGTCAGCCTTTATCTGTTACTCAAATTTTATTTGCACATGAATTTTGCCCCCAGAAAATTTGACTCATAACTATCGATTTCAGGCAAGTTCTTGAGGTAGTGGCTGGATGCAAAGGAATTTCTGACATAGAAGGCCTGAGTAGAACTCTGTACCACAACACATGCAGGTAAGATAACTTTGTACCAACCTGAGAATTTTCCACTGGTTATTAGTAACTAGAAACAACCCATGTTCCCCTATTGCTTATGGATATATCATGTTGCTTATTTCAAGCTCCAGCTCTGTGGTGTTCCTTAGTCATCTTTTAATTGATGTGAATACGTGATTTATGGATCTGCCAATCTTGCAGGCTCTTCTTTCCTCAGGATATTGATGCATCTGCGAATGCACAGCTTGAGAGTGGTACTACCGTCCAGGATAGCTGATGGCAGAGTGATGTTTTTTTAAATATTTCCTTTTGATTGATGTTTAGTTTCATGCTTTCATGTTACAACTTCCAATATGCCTATGAAATATTTTTTGGTCTGCTATACTTTTGTCGTCACTGCCAATTGTGCCGTCCCAAACCTGATGACATGTCAAGTGCGCTCTGTTCGGCTGCTCGTAAAAGCCGCTTGTGTTGATTTGTACGGCTGATTTGTTGTGAGAGAAAAATACTATACCATAGCTTATAAGCCGGCTTATAATGGCAGCCGAACACTCCCTAAACTGTTCTTTTTACCGAGTTTGCACAAAATAGAGCTACAACTTCAATTCATTACATCTTTCAAATGTCAATTGAAAATAGTTTATACCTCTTATATTGCTCCAGTTCATTTGAAAAATGGTCTATCAAATAAAACCTATGAGTTGACCAGACACTAACAAAATAGAACATTTGAAAAGGATCAGTTTACAGTAAGCGGAAGGCTACACAATTACAATTCAGATCATATTTTGCAGAACTCGTTACACAAATACGGCAGTTCCTAATATCTAATACATTCTATCAGATTTATAGCTCAAATGTTGAAGAGCGAATTCCTTGTGAGCCATTATAAAAGATTGCAATTACTTATGAGCCACTGAAAAAGTTTGGTGGACTTCAGCGCCACTGCTCTAATTTTTTTTTACTCTTCATGCCACTGACGTTAGATTGGGCTCTAACGGTGTCAAACTGTATATGTGAAAAGTTAAAAATACACCTTAGGTCTAAATATGTCATTAATTTTTTTGAGCATCTTAGTGACTTCAAATGAAAAAACTCAAAACTAGAAAGTTATAGATTTCGTCGAGATCTATAATTTTTATATAAAAATTACCTTCGTTTAATTCTACAAAAAAAATAATTTGATATGATTAATATATCTTAGAAAAATCATATCTTTTTTGCGGTATTAAATGAAGATAATTTTATATGAAAATTATAGATCTCGAAGAGATCTACAACTTTCTAGTTTTAAGTTTTTCCATTTGAAGTCGTTAAGATACGAAAAAAAATTAATGGTATATTTAGACCTAAGGGTATTTTCGACTTTTCACACCTACAGTTTGACTGACACCGTTAGAGCCCAATCCGACGGCAGTGGCACGTAGGAAAAAAAAAGTTGGAGCAGTGGCGCTGAAGTCCGCCGAATTTTTTCAGTGGCTCACAGATAATTATGATCTTTTTTAATGGCTCACACGGAGTTCCCTCAATGCTGAATCCTCGCTACAGCATCACTTGTGTCAAATTTTTGCTCCTATCAGTACACCTTGGACTTGAATGGCAGAACTTAGAAGTCATTACAACACATATATAACCCGTGGCTCCTGCTTATTAATAAGTTGCAGCTGTCTGCAAGTTGCTATCGTCCAACTCTGTTTCAGATAATTCTGAAGAACTGGCTGCTTCAGCCTCTGCATCAGATGTGCCTGAATCGGTTTCTTCCTGCTGTGCCTGCGCAGTACTAGGTGGGGAACCAGGTGGTGGATTCTGTTCCGCCAGACTAAGGCGAAGCGGCCTCCCTTCCAGTTCCTGCATTGCCATTCCATAACCATGTTAACCACTGCTACAACAAGACCATGGTGACTCAAGTAATGTGAACTATGAAGGTATACACTCAAGTAAATCACAATTCACTTATTCACATGCTACTTGGACGAAGTGCAATAAGCAACTATGAACTAGACACTGTCCAGTCCAGCCCATCATTATTTCACACTGAGAAATTCATATATTAGCTTACCTTGTGTGCTATAATTTGATGATTCAATTAGAAGTACCCACAGGCCACACATAGCAATGCTACTGCATCAGTTGGCATTTGCATATATCTACTACTAATAAAGAGATGTAATGGGCACTGAACAACATTGCCCTAGATGAAGACAGAACATACCACTCCATCCAAAGCCTCCAATGCAGCCTGTGCACCCTCTGCAGTGCTGAAGGAGATGAACCCGAACCCTCTGGAGCGGCCAGTGTCACGCTCAAAGATGACCCTGGCGTCAAGCAAGCCAGCCTTACCCTCAAACACATTCCTCAATGTGTCGGCACGCACTCCCCACCCCAGGTTGCCGGCATAAATCTTGTATGTGCCATCGTCACGCGTACGGCCAGCCATGGTGACCGTTCTCCTCTCCCCGCCTCGCGGAACCTCTGGGTAGTTCACCCTAGCCGTCCTCCCTCCCAGCAGCTGCATTTGTTTGAAGATAAATGTGCCAAGATCATGTCAGAGTCAGAGCACACACTTGCACATTCATGGGCAAGAGCAAGACACCAATTCTGTGAACTGAGAAAGGACGACTGATCAAATTGGCCGGTGTGGTACTTACGGCGCCGTCGAACATCTGGATGGCCTTGGCTGCCTCCTCAGCGGTGGCCATGGTGACGAAGGCGAAGCCCCGGCTCCTGTTGGTGACCTTGTCATAGATTATCTGCAGCAATTGGAACCGTCAAGCATGAATGATGATACTGTTCAGCAATTGTTCCAGGAGGCAGACCAAGAAGGGATTTTGGTTGGGATCGATACGGGTACCTGCGCGTCGTCGACCCTGCCTGCCTCAGCGAAGACCTGGGCGAGTTCCTCGGAGGTATAAGTGTAGGGCAGGTTGCCGACGAAGAGCCGGCCGGGCTCGTCGCCGCGCGTCGGGCGGCTTCGTGGCGGCGAGTAGGAGCGCGGGGCCTCGGCTTCGTCCTCCGGCTCGGAGCCCTCTTCCTCATCGAAGAACTCCTCGCTGTCGTCGCCGGTGAAATCCTCTCCGTCGGAAGAGAATTCCTCGCCGGCTGCGGCGGCGACGGGCGGGAGTAGGACAGGGCGCCCACGCGGTGTCGCGAGGAAGCGGAGGCCCACGCGGTGGCGCTGCAGGCTCTGGAACCGGACGCTGGGAAGCGGAACGGGGGCGCCACTAGCCGCCGCGTGTTGGAGCAGGGTGCGGAAGGTGGCTGTCACGGCGGCGGCCATGGCCGGAGAAGCGAGAAGGGCCGGAGCGGAGGGAGCACAAGTCCAGTGGCGGTGGCAGACTGGCAGTGCAGCCTCTCGCCGCCGATAAATATCTAAGTTTCCTCTTCTTATCCGCTATCTGATGGGCCGCTGGGCCGAGCGGCCCATGATTCTGTGGGCCTGAAACGCGAATTGATGGGCCCATCTCGTACGGCGGCAGGACTAGTAGCATCATAGTATGGGGCTGATTTCAGGTGATGAATTAGAATCGCTTTATGAGATTGTTTGACTAGTATGCTGAATTTTGATTCATAAAAAATATATAAATGAAAATATGCTTAAAAAATTCAAAACTTCTTGTCGGTGAAGAACAACTTGAACAAAATTTAATTTATTCCACTTATTTTTTTGGCAAATCAATATATGAAGTAGGTAGACTGAGAATCAGAATCGTGCAAAACTAGGTCCTAGCCGTTTCTGGTGCTTACCTAGAAAACCTGGAACGTTCCAGTTCCGATTCTTGATCTCCAAAACTCGTTTGGCGGCGTTTCTCTGGTTTCCAACTCGAATTGAAACTGATCCGACTAGCCAAACGGGCCCATATATATATATGGCAAGGAACCAGCCAACAAGCAATCAAAGAAAACAGCCTTAAAAAAAAAAACGATCGCAGCAGACAGCGACGTGGAGTGCGTGGCGGCGGCGGATGAAGGACGGCTCTGGTACGCCGCCGACGACAACACAGCCGCTTCCCTGCCTCGACGCCGCGGACAGCCTCAAGAAGTGCATGGAGGACAACGCCGGCGAGTACGCGCACACGCTCGACCTCATCGCTCCCGGCGCCGGCGCCTTATACAACACACACACACACAGAGGGTGGAGGCTCACCCGTGGTTGTGCAGGTGTTGGAGCTTATGATGATGCAGGAGGCGTATCTCAAGGTGCAGAAGGCAGTGGCCGAGGCAATTTTGAGCGAGGCTGATGCTAATAGGGTCCCTCGCTAATCTTATGGTGGTTGCTTTTATTCATCGGCCAATGGGATACAGGAGCCCAAATCATTATGCTTTGATTGGATGGGTGCCCTTTGCTTTTAGTAGGAAAACTTGATATCAGTAGAGAAATTAGAATACCTTTTGTGATTCATTCTTGAGTGATGGTAATAAAGGCTTATTGGGATATTATTACAATCTCATATGAGTTATATGTCCACTGTGTGATGTTGTCTTTAGCAATGGATGAACACGGTAAGAATTATAACTACGTTCCAAATTATAAGATGTTTTTAATATATATATATATAGTATTTCTATATTGTACCTAGGGTCCCGAGTAATATTCAGTACCCGAGGCCGTCCGCGAACCATTCCACGGCCCCGGTCCGTAGCTGACCCAGTGCGCACCCATTCCACAACCTTGGCCACGGTTATTCCCGATAAAAAAAATAACCAACAGGTTTCATTCGTATCCGTCGCCACCACATGACCTCAGCCCCCCAAGACCACCCCTCTGCGCCGGTCATGGGAGAATCGGTTGCATCCGGCTCCTCCGCTCCTGTGGAGGCTCCGCCGCCGCCATCCATGTGCATCCGCCCGTGAAACCCTAGCGACACCTGGTTATATCTGCCGCCGCACTGGGGCGGCCATCCTCCTCGCACCGCCGCCCTTCCGTTCCTTGCCTCGCCACTGCTGTGGGCACACCCAGCACCACCGTCTTCACCTTAATAAGCTTGCCGTCGCCACGGACCACAGCCGTTTCTGCTATTGTATCATTATCTCACACCCTATGATTTGTTTTGGTTTTTGCCTAAATCCAGGAGATTAGTCGGATGATCCCCTCCCAAATTCATCTAGATGAAGTGCATTGCATCCTTTATCGCTGAGGCAAGCCTACAACTCTTTGTTTTTTCTGTTTCCGTTAGAACCTAAGAGGATTATGCAATAATATAATTGGCTTGTTTTTGTGCAGATCGCCTGTGAAACATCAAGTGCCAGGATCGCCTGTGAATTTCTCCCATCCTCCTG